GAGGTTCCCGACGGCGGCCCTCGCGAAAACCTTACCGTGATCCCAAAGCCGTCGCAGAACTGCCTCTTGTGCTCTGCTTCGTGAGGACCACGCAGCCACCGAGGCGTAGTGCTTCTTAGGCTCCCGCAAAGACGAACTGTACAAACCGTTAAGAAAAAGCACCCACCTTGAAACCAGCTTCCACAGTAACAGTCTCTCCCGCCACCTCTTACGAAGTCTCGGAGATGTCGACTGAGGCTGCTGCGGAACCGAAGGCATAGGCAAGGGAAAAAGGCGGCGATCACTAGAGCGAAGTTCATGCGGAAAATCATGCATCAAATCTCCGGGCAGAGAGAAAGAGACTCGCCCTCGATCAGATCTCTGCGCTTCACGAGGGCTGCCTGTCAGCCCTGGGTGGAGGCCCTGCCCCCGCCCTTCCTCTTGTCCTTTCCTTTGCCCTTACCGCCCTTGGGCTCGCCGCCCTTGCTGTTGCCCCCACCATGGTGACCACCGGCCTGCGCGCGCGCGCGCTCCCGGCGCTTATGCTCCGATTGGCTGTAGGAAGCCGCCTCCGTCACCAACCAGCTCGGCGCCACATCCGAAGAGAAAGAAGACGGCTTGATCGCAAGCATGCTCTGCGTGGCATCCTTGTCCCCGGTGCGCCGTTCATGTATCCAGGCCGCTAGGCGGCGCAGCGGCACCTCGCAGGCGTCATCCTGCGCGATGATGCTCAGGATCTTCGCTTGCGACGCGCCTCCCTCTTTCGCCTTGAAGTCGACCAGAGACGCCAGGTTGAAAAGATCAACATAAACGCATCGCACCCCGGCTGCCTTCATAGACGCATAGATCTCGGGCCCCGCCCGCTTGAGATCCGGAGGCAGAGAGGCCTCCCAGCCCTCCGGGCCTTCGTCTCCCTCGTCTTGCCACGCCAGGCTCTCTTGAGCCCGGAAGGCCTCTAACGAGTGCGAGACAGCACCTGCCGCAGCCAACTCCTCAAGCTTCTCCTTGAGTTCTTTGAAACGCGGCGGGTGCCCACTCCTCGGCCCAAGTAGCCCTGGGCCAAAAAAGAAGTACTTTCAACCTTCTCTCCAAAGGCTCCAGAAGACCGACCGCTTGCCAGAAAGACTTCGCCCACACTGGTAGCAGAGCCGATCGCCCATGCCACTGCACCAGCAAGTCCTTGACCTTCTTGGCTTGCTCCAGCATGTTCTCCTGCCCTTGCATTGGGGCATAGGCAGCCTGCTCCGTTACCGGAGGCCCTTCTGGTCCTTCGGACTTCCCGGCAAGGACGCTTCCTTGCTGAGCTTGCAAGGCCTTCAGCTGCTCACCAAGCACTTCTCTCACACTGGCCGGCTCCACTTCTTCAAGAGTCACCAAGCTGACGTCCTTGGCCGTCACAAAGCTCCTCCGGCCAGGCTCACCGAGATGGAGCCTTGCTCCCGTTTCTCGACGACTCCAAAGCAGTCGTGCAGCTCTCGTCTTTCGAGACATTTGAAACGAACCACGGAGCGCTCCCCCGGCAACACACTGAGGGAGCGTAGCAGCAGCGTTCGCAGGCACCGGGGCCACTAAGGGTGCAACCACTGGACTCGGCAGCTCGCGCTCCTGGCCCAGCAGGGGCACTCCTGTTGCAAGCTCTACAAGAAGATCAGCTTCTGCTTCGTTCTTGCTCGAAGCAAGATGCTTTGGAGGCTTGTGCAAAGGCTTAAGAGTTTGTCCGACGGCTGCAGTTCTTCGCCAAGAGCATCTGCCACTGCCATCAACATGAACGCTCCGAACATACTCCGCATACGTCCGCTCATGGAGAGCCAGTGCGTACTTAGAAGCGCCCCCACATGCAGACTCCAGCGAACCAAGGAGGGGCCATCGCTGACCAAGTTGACCTCTTTCAACTTGTTTACTAACTCCACCCAGACTTCGCCATCATCCTCTTTAAGAGCTCGAAACCGCAAGAAAGACTGCGTCTGCGCGGTGGCTGCCTCCAACACGTTCCACAACAGCCACTCCACTGGTCCTTGCTAAACGTCCACTTCAAGTTAAACCAACTGATTTTGTCCACTTCGCAACACAGCATCAAGGAACTTGCGAGCAGTTTGGGTAACAACCGTGTCTTCAAAGACAAACGGTGCTGCTCTTTCGTAAACTTGTCCAGGCCGCCAGTGTGCAGGACGGCCTATTTCAACAGATTTTCAAACTTCTAGGCTCTGCAAAGACAGGACGGCTGTACGGACACGAGTCAGTTGGATAACTTTTTCCGGAGACAAGAAGACAAATATATAGATAATCCGAGCCTCGATGGTCTCTACTTGCATTGACAGACAAGATTGTAGCTCAGACTGAACAAGCACTAAGGCGTTAGTTCTGAAAAAGGAACAAACGTGGTTGGAGACGCAGGCAATCCACCGAGCTTAAATCCGTTGTGTACCATCTTGGCAGCACTCCAAACTCAG